TATATATATATATATATATATATATATATATATATATATATAAAAATTAAAAATTATAGACAACTGCTTCAGTACAAAGAAAGGGAAAGTGAAATCGTTGTGATTGACACACACAATGCTGGAGTCAATAACTACTTAAGAAAGTACTTTATCTTATTTCAAGATATTTCAAGGTGCTGCAAGAGGACACCTAGAGAGTGGTAATGAGAAATGAGAGGAGGTGAGGCTTTTCCATGTGAAATACTCTACAACTAGGGACACTCTCGTCACAATTCAACTGGCTTCATGAGTCAAAATTATAATGAAAATTATGGCTGAAAAGACTCCTTTTTATATCTGAATCATAACCAATGCAAAACAATGTGCATTTTTGTCTGTATAAAACTATACAATAAATCAAAAATCGGTAAGAGCATAGGTTTAATATTGAAAACAAAATGTACTACAGGTTCACAATATCTTAAAAATAAATAAATAAATATATAAATTCTCCCAAAAAATTTTATTGAATAAACAGATTCTCTGACTCAGGGAAAATGATCAATTGAAACATAATGAGCTCTGTAGTACCGTCTGAGGCATCATTTCAATGGGAAATAGAGCTCCAAAGTCAGCTAAAATGCCCGGCTTCTGTGGCCTCTTTCTCAGGCACTGTAGATCATGTGGGGCTAATGTCATTTTAAAGCTACTGAAGCTGAGCTCTTTTTAACTGTAATAATGTGGTCGTATAACCATAAAAGCTCTAATGTGTGACAGTGGTTGTGACTTATCAGTCAAGTTGGTTGTAGTTGTGACCTATCAGTGAAACTGTCGATCACTTCACAAGTGCAGATGATTAATGGTACAGGCTTTCCACAAAAGAATAACCAGTGTGCGCTATATATATTTTAACTCTATGGGATGCACAGTTTGGGGCCACTGGTGTGCAAACAGTGCAATTGCATTAGATGCCTAATTCATGGGAATGCTGATTTCCTCAATGTGAATCGCACATTTCCACGATGCACATTGTTACATTTTTGCATTGTCACGATGCATCATTACACCCCTAACTGCAAATGACGAGACACATTTCAAAACTCCAGTTATTACTTTATTTTTATGACACTCATTAGTCCATATGAACTTTGTCACACCTCTGTACACAGCTGAAATATTTCCTTACTTTCTCACACGCACCAATTCAGTCTTTTTGCAATTAAGCCATATTCAGTGGGTCAGTTTAATATTAGTTCAGTTATTATGCAACAGTTTTGCGTAATATCATTCAGTCCTTCCACATTAATGTCATCTCACCTTGTAGTAAGCCATGAATGAGAAGAACAACGAGGAAGAGAACATCGTCAGCTTCCTCCGTCCAACAGTAGCCAAGAGCCGAGTGATCAATATAACAGCCTTTCTGAAGCTGTGGTGCACTGAGCGGAAAAAGCTACTCTGAAAGAAAATGCTGGAAGGTAAGAGCAGGAGAGTTACAGGTGATGGAAACACATCAGTCTGCATCTCAGTTAGAAGTGAAGTGGAGGCTGGACTCAGACGATCCCCTGCGAATACTTTCTCCAACTGAAACACAGCCACTCTTCCAGAACTGTTTCCCACAGGGTACACACACACACACACACACACACACACACACACACACACTGCGATCACTGTGCCCATTCACTTGAATGATATTATTTCATTTATTGTTGCCTCTCTCTTCATTCACACAACCATGCTGGGTTTTAATGATTTTGAAACAATTCATATACATTTCTCCATGCATGCCTATTCATTATTTAAATACATAAATAAATAAATAAAGTCTCTGTTCAATAACCACACCAAGTTACACAACCGTAGGAGAACAGAATAGAAAACATATTTAAGCTAGAAAATTAAACAATACTAAATGCATCATCGCATTAAATAAATAAGGAATAAAACATTCTGGGGTGTGCTGTGATAGGAAAACAATCAGTGATGAGGTGGTGCGATGAATCACGTTACTTTTACCACCCGGAAGTTGATTCTTTTCCAATAACATTATCACCCGAAGCATTTTCTTCCTCTTCTACCACAGCAATTTGCCAACAATTATTCATTTATTTTTTTCATTTATTAAAGGACACATCATTATGTTTATCCTTTCATAGTTACATTTAATGTTGTGTAATTCCCGTTTTCCGCTTACGTTACAGCAGCTATAAACATTCACATACTTTCTCCTGAAGTTAATAAGACACAAGAAGCCACAAAACGCAAAGTACACTGTCCTGAGGACTTTCATATGGTGGAAAACCTCCTGTGACAATGTGCTGACACTGGAGACTCCTTTCATAAATGTGGAAAAAATAAGTCTCTATACAGAAAGCTACTCCATAACATTTTTCCTTGTTAAATAACAAAACATTAAAAAAAATCATTATTAGTATTAGATTAAGTGCAGCTTCTGCCGTATAAGTTCCTGTAAATTATTTGTTATTATGGAAACGATAATGTGTCAGAAGCAGTGCTTTAAAAGAATCCTGTGATTTGTCTTGCAGCTGGAGCTACTGTCCAAAACACCTTCTGACCAATCCATATAATCGCACAAAGCTAGCTTCCAGTGTATTACACTGTTGTTATTGTAGTGTAATAAGAGTGCAACGATCATGCTAAAGTTTAATCCAGATGTGTGTGATCAGAGCAGTTTGTTCCAGGCATGTGTGATTAGATTTAATCTGAGAGCATAATCGCTGTTCTCCAGTTAGATTTCACTGAAATGACAATCAACTATGTAATCTCTGTGTTTGCAACCATAAAGCTCCAAAGGAAATGCAGTTGAACTGTTTCATACGAATGAGTCCGAGTCGTCTCTGTAAGAGTACACAGACACACACACGCAGAATAAGAGCAGAGCTGGAAAAAGGAAGGACTCGTATCATAGCCCATGTGTGTCAAGGGGTTATGGCTCCTTGAGCTCTCAATCTCACATGAAATAAATAACTTTCCCCTCAGGACCAGTGTCCTTTACTAGAGCACAGACAAGAGGAAAGTAAAAGAAATAAGAAAGGTGAGATGACATATCCTCCATGATTGCTACGTCCACCTGAGGTGAAATAACACACATTAGGTTTTGTCCTTCAGATGCCTCTGAGGTAATAAACGGATAAACTCTGACAGCAGGGTAGTGACAGCTAATCCCTTCAGTCTGAACACAGTTAAATCGCAATAATAAGAAAATACAAACCCAAAGTTCTATAAATATGTAGTATTTCATAAATTGTGGTAAAAAAGGAAGGCAATTATGGTGACAAAATTGTACCCACACCTACCTGCTGTATCATACTATTTTAGCACTGTTGAATTTTCAATTCTGACCGGTCCAGATAATCTAAAGCTAATAATTGCTTTTTTTTTTTTTTTTTTAATTAAGCTTTCTTTAAGGAGATTTATTTTAACGTTTATGGAAGGAGTTTCTAGTGCCAGTGCGTTGTAACAGTTTTCTGCCAGGGGAAAGTCTTCAGAACATCTTTCTCGCTTCTCTGTAAAATGGCAAGCTGCGTATTTCTCTCTCTCTCTCTCTCTCTCTCTCTCTCTCCGGCGAAAACCAGCGCCAAGGAAACGACTGTTTAGAGCTATTAAAATATAAGTGATAAATAGAAACCAACTTGTTTTGTGTAAATTCCATAGCCATAAATGTAATGATAAATGGATAATAAGCACAATGTGTCATTTGTTAATAAATGTAAAATCGTAATTATTGTGGTATAAGAGGAATAAAATGTGCTGTTCTTGGAAAATAATCAACCTTTGCATACTGTACGTTTTTTTTTTTTTTCCCCATACTAGCACTTCTCTGCTCCTACTTCTTGCTTTACTTGTGCCTAGCCACAGAATTAAAGGGACCAGCGAGCTAACCATGAGAGTATTTTTTGGGCCACACACACAAACTAGGTGAACGTTAAGTTGACAGCATATAGAAAGTGTGATTGTGATTTTAATTGATTTCTATGGAGTTTATGCTTGAAAAAAGTAGACAACAAAATGCTAAGCCCGATATAACGCTAGGGCTTGAATTTTATACACATTGGGCCTCAGTCTTCATCAGTCTTTGAATAATGTTGTCTGTGAATGTTTGTGTAAACCAAACCAAACTAAAAATTTCTGCCAAATTTACAAAAGTTTCGTAAACTTTGATTTTCTTCATATTCGCATGTGTATGTCGATAAATGGCGATCATTTGTAAAGTACTGGGTACGTGCATGCCACAGCTGATTTGCGTCTGGTGACGCCCCAATTAAAAGACCAAGTTTACAGAGTGGAAAGCACAAAATGGTTACTAAACAGTAAAAAAGAAGAATTTCTCTGAGGCAGAAATTGAAGTACCTTTGACTCACCTCCTTGAGAATAATATATATATATTGCAGTGTATCCAGTGTCACAGCACCTGACAATGCCGAAGTATGGAGGTGAATTTGGTGTCTTCCATTCAGAGCAATACAAGCAAGGTCAAAAGAAAATGGTCTGACACAAAAAAGTATTACCACTAATTGATAGTCGGGTTTCTCTGCTAGCAGGGGAAGCTAAACCATGACAAAGCTTTTTAAATTGAACAGATGCTGTGACAAACAGAAGCAGCTTATAAGCCAGCTTTCATCCTCTGAAAAAAATCATTCTCACTGGTCTCTAAATATCTGATGCCTCCTAAGGGCATCATGTGCTAACTCTCTCAGCAATATTCCACCTCGGCTTATGGCTACAGACGAGCCCATCCTCATTTTATATGGCAGCATTTCATCTTAAATGAACATTTAATTAATTTTGTGTGTGTGTGTGTGTGTGTGTATGTGTATTTCAAATTTACTTTGTGTGTGTATTTGAAAGACATAAGCGATTTGAACCTGACAGTGTAATCCGTGTATAAAAATGCAATAACTCGTGTTGTCTTGCAAACTATAAGATCCGTAGCAGATCAATCGAGGTATATGTTAATTAGTCTTCTTACTTTTTAACTTGACTACTCTTATTCCCCTGGGTCCCTGGAGGACTAGTGGTTAGGCCTCGGCGCTCTCACCGTCACGGCCCGGCTTCAATTCCCGGCCAGGGAACCAACCCAACAGTGCACTCCCAGTGCCGGTCCCAAGCCCGGATAAAATTGGGGAGGGATTAAAAATGTCAAGAAGGGCATCTGGTGTAAAAACTGAGCCAAATCAAATATGCGGACCAATGAGCCACTGTGGTGACTCCTAACAGGAACAGCCGAAAGAAGAAGAAGAAGAAGAAGAAGAACAACAACAACAACAACTCTTATTTCTCTCTGAAGTTTTTGATGAAAGTCTTATTAGACTTTCCCTAAGAAATTCCCCAAGACACTATCATCTTAAATGCTTTTCTCCTGTTGACTCCCTTTAGTAACAGCCTTTAATATTTGGCCTTGATGTCTCACAGAAATAAAAGTGGTAAGTTGTCCCATTCCTGAGAGGAAGAATTGTTAAATCACCAGACGCCATAGTGAACATTTACTAAATGACTTCTTAATGCACCACCTACGACCTCTATGTGGCTTTCGCCTTCATTGCCATCTCAGACACAATGAGATTTTCAGCAGTTACACAATTCAACCCTCTGACAGGAACCTTGACCAGCACAGCTTAAGTGTTCTCTCTGTATTACTCAGAAATGAATCTGGAACATCTGATGGTGAAGTGGCTGCTGCTGCGGATGCCTTTATCTTTACACCTGACTACAGCAAGCAGACTTGTTATGTTATAGATGGCTCTACAAAGTTCAAATCAAAGTATAATGTGCTTTTAGGTCTGGTGTCAGCTGCAAAATAAAAAAAAAGTGCTATCTAAAAGCTCGGAAAGAATGTTTCATTGACGCAAATAGAAAGCAAGGGGAATTTGTTCTATCTCTGTAATAGCAATTTACTTCACGTCTTCACTCTAAAGCCCCAAACTTTTTTTTTTTCCAAATCACCAAACTGTACTGGACCCTGGTGCTGCAGGCTGACAGGTGTGTCTCTGTGGTTTACTTAAACACCTAGCCTACCTGAGTGATATCTTTATTTATTCCCAAACATCGAGATAAGGCAAGAAAATACTGTATATAAACCATATGATCACCAATATGTCATCCAGTACAGCAAACTCTCAAATCATCACAGTGTGAATTTTATTCTTTCAAATTTGTGCTAATCATGTAATATAAAAAGTGTGAGGTTTAATCAGTAATACGGTGTCACTCACCTGAACATTCATGCAATTTAGCACAACCAAGAGTGTTATTCTTCACAGAATAACCTTAAACAGACTTTAACTGTGTGCTGATCTCAGGTAGCGCAAAGCTAAAGGTGCATATGATCACACACACACACATACGCACAAAAGATTGTGAGAAGCCGGCAAGATGTTCTGAGATTTGAAGGTAAAACTGAGTTGTGTAATTTACCTACATGCCGTCTTTTTAAAGACAAAATGAACAAAAAACTAGACTATCAGGTGCTACATTCGTATAACAAACTCAACATACTTTTTTCAAGTCAACATCATAAAGGGTTCTTGTGGAATGTTGGCATTTTTCTTTCTTTGTTTCACGGATTTCAAGGATTTTGCATGTGTGTGTCTGATGAGAATGGGATAGCTGGATATGAATGATTTTTTAATTTTTTTGTAAATCATTCGTTGGGGCATTTACACATACAATTTGGTATTCATGAAAATCTGAGTTTTATGTAATCATGAGTTTGTATATGTTTATGTATAAGGAGGCTCACCAACATAAACTTGATTATTCAAATCATATAATTGGTGATGAGCTGCATATGAGTTATGTATTTTAAATACAGATTAAACTGTGAAGCTTAAATCACCTTTACAACTGAATAAAATGCTTTGTTAAACTCAGTCATTCCATGTTCATTACTACAATCCAAAACACATCCATAAATAAAGACAAATAAGACAAATTTATTAAAAAAGAAATGGCACCCTGCAAAAGGAGACCAAGCTAGACTGTGCCTTTTGGTAAGCGACTCAATGGCGGAGCTGCATTATTGGAATGTTTAGCACACACAGTGCTTAGAAGGTACTCTTTCACTATTCTCTCTGTGAGCTTTTATAGAGTTTTGTGGGTGTCACTATGCCAGGCAGCACAGATGGTTGTAGCATTTATTGTAATGGGTAGACAAATCCATATCCACAATCAAAAGGTAGAGTCAAAAAAAAAAAAATAAAACAGGCTTGGGCCAGGTGATCAACAAAAAGACTTTCAAGGACAAAAACCAGAAAAAAAACATAACAAGCTCAAAATCAGATACAAAATACATAGGTTTTGTATTGGCATGAGGAAACTCTTATGTATGTGTCCTTGATTGAGTCCAGGTGTGTGTGACCTGGCATCTGGATCAGTCATGTTGTGATGTTGTGCTGGATTCTGGGACACACACTGAATGTAAATTGTCTGTGCCGTAAACACACTTTGCACTTTACTGCCAGGTAACTGGCATTCGTGATGATATACAAGTAAATATGGAAAAAAAAAAAAACCTAAATAAATCTGGCAGGAAGTTTTAGTTCAGTTTGGCCTACAAAAACATTTACACAAAACCTGAGTCAAAGTCCCAGTGTGAAGTGAGGAGAGTAAAAAAATACAGAAGTACAGTGATTATTACACCCAGTTGACCCGTGTGGCTGATGCTCTTGTGCTCGTATCTCTCTAACAACTCAATGTGACATAGAGACGCTTTAAAATGCAGCTCATGTAATCAGCACATCGCACCCACACACCTGCAGCACCGCTTAAATAGCAAGCCATTATCAGAGTGCTGACACATAAATTGTAGACATTACGGTGAAGTACGGTGAACTCGTGAGTTTCACTGCAGCCGGGTTTTCAGTTACAGTAACGAATTTAACCTGACAGTAAGAAATGAAGAGATATCTAAAGATTATAGGAGATAGGGGTTTATCTTTGTTGCATAGACAAAATTATGTTTTTACATTCGCATGCACACAGCAGGAAAAAAGAGGATGTATGGCTTGAGGAAGGAGGAAGAAAATATCAGGGAATTTACAAAAAGACTAAACAAGAAAAAGAGAAAATGTGCATATGTGTGTGTGTGTGTGTGTGTGTATAGGTCTGACTCTGACTCTGGTGAAACACCAGAGGAAGACTGTGATTGTCAGCAGATTGACGTCCTTCAGACAAGTTGTCAAAGTCCAGAGCTACACACAAACATACACACACACACACACACACACACACACACACACACACACACACACACACACACACACACACTTTGACAGCTTGGGCAGGATGTGAATTCACACTGATGCTAAACTTACATACAGAGGTATGAGGAAAGCAGCGATGCAAACACACCCTTTATTTCCCCATGGATGAAAAATTTGCCACATCACATCCACGTCAGCCTTAACATCAATCTCTTCCTCGATCCATTCTTTTTCTCACATTTAACACGTTTATTTCATGTTGCTTAAATATTTCATGTTCTTGTGGTCTCTGAAATCAGATGTTCTGCAGGCTGGAAGTCCATACTATATGGTGAATTATACATACTGAATCTATGAATCTATGCCTTTTTCCCAGCATGCACTAGGGATGAAGATGAACCTGCTTCTGCAGCCTGGTGAGATTTTGAAAGTGTGTGTAGAGGGCTGTGGATGGAGAAGCTCAACTAGATGAGAGGGAGACATACCTGCACTCGTTGCTTCTTGGTCTCCTCCATCATGAGGGCCAAGCACTTAGAGAAGTCTATCAGGTCCTGATCTTAAAAAATAAACAAAAAAACAAAAACAAACATATCCTTCTGGATATTAATAAAAATGTGTAACAAAGCATCCACTGAAAGTTCATCACTTGAACAGGCCTCATATTAAAATCAGTTCAATCTGAAAGTCTCTGTCTGGTTGGTGGTGTTATCAGAACAGGGTTCACATCAGTTCTGATCATATCAGGGTTATTAAACATTTCACAAAGTTTATTAAACTCCGCCAAAGTACAAATCGTGATCAGTGTGGTTTTATGATCTGTGTATAAATGACGTCTCTCATTTCAGGCTCTTCTACACGCCAGGAAGGACTGCGGGGAACATCGAGTCTCGCCGTTCTCTGTTCTGCCTGAAATGATGCGTCTACACGTACCGATCCAGGTGACTGCTCAATCGCGGCAGGGTTTTACAAAACCTGGCTACTGCATGTCAGCTGAGGAATGAATTCTTATTCAGATATGCATGCATGTGATTCTTGCAAATGCTTTAAGCAGAATGCTGTTCATGGCTGATGTGCTATTTTTCTTTGAATGTAGCAATGACTGATGGATATAGCATGCAATTCCCATTATCAAATCTGGCAGTGGAAAAACTTTGCATTGTTAAGCTTGCATTTCCAATCAGTGCACTGTGATCTGTACATGGTCTCCTCCATTCTGAGTGGATGCCAAACAGTAGAAATGGTGCATAGTATTCAGAAACTGTCATTTAATTATTTAAGATATGACCTACCATCTATCAATTTTTCCATCACCAAAACTGGACAGTTGAAAACTGGAAAAATATCAGGCAATGTTTTTCCAATCGGTCCATTTTTGGAGAGTCTCTGCCCACTGTAGCCTCATATTCTTGTTTTTGGCGGACAGTAGTGGAACCCGGCGTGTTCTTCCACTCAAGGATCAAAATATTGTGTATTCTGAGATGCTTTTCTGTGCACCACTGTTGTGAAGAGTGGTTATAGAGTGACCTACCATAGCCTTTCTATCAGCTTAAACCAGTCTGGTCATTCTCCTCTGACATCTCTTTTCAACAAGTGCTCACTCGATGTTTTTTTTTGTTTTTTCACACCATCACAAATACTCAACCCAGCCTGTCTGGCACCAACAACCACACCATGGTAACTGAGATAACATTTTCCCCCATTGTGATGTTTGAGGTGAACATTAACTGAAGACCTGTATCTGCATGATTTTATGCATTGCTCTACTGCCACATGATTGGCTGATTGGAGAGTCGCATGAATTTGCAGGTGTACAGGTGAATGTATTTTGTCTTTCTAATTAACAGATTTATAAACCCGATTTCAATCTGGAA